TCCTTCTGCTTAGTACGACCGTTTTCTTGAGCTGCGCATCGACATCGCGTCGGCTGGCTCCATCGCCTCAAACTGGCCCCTCATTTCCTGTTGCGCATCATCGCCACGTATGGGCTGCTCCAATGCGACTGTACTGGAGCTTCGTTCCTCTATGATGGAACGTGCAAGCAAGTCCCGTTTCGGGATGGCCCTGGGCTTACAACTCGGTTTCCTGAGCAATTGTGCTCACGCTATGTCTGATTGTATGATTATGGGTACATCCTCCATCAGCCTTGCCTACGGTTTTGTGCTCGCCTTCTTTCGCCTTTCCCCCGCAGCAGTGCGTGTGGTGTTTATCTCACTGCGCTATGTGCGCAACGTTTCATGTAAGTGATCCTTACATCAGCGCCTACTGTAAAATTACTCATAATCGTTAAGCTTCCAACATAGAATCGTTGTCGTGGTAGGAGTCAACACGCCTCTTTCCATACTTGGACGAGGGACCGCAGCAATACCCACAGTTGAGGCCGTCCGAACCCGAATACTTCCGTCTGTGATGAAACCACATTCACGTAATCGCGCTTCCCAACCGCGCTGACCAGCCTGTTGTCTGGCTGCGTGGTCCAGGCTAGTTAGTCTCTTACGACGCTGGTGCTACATAATTGATTATCGCGGCCGCTGCTGCAGCAGTATTCGTTCGTTTGGTTTCCGGGCCCGCGAGGACTCGTCGTCAACTATAATCTCCGCACCGTATCGAGAGATTCGAGGTCTCCCGAGAGGGCGTGGACAGCCCAACCAGTCATCGAATTGACTCCGGCGTAGTTCCTCAACATAGCTATGTATCCATCTCTCTTCCCTAGCTGCATCGGCTCTCGCAAGGAGAGTTCAAACACCTCTTTACTATTGTCGACCCGCTCTCCGATGTTATAATGTTTGCACTCGTCGCAGCTATGCACCGAGCGTATGAAGTCTCACTCATTGCATCGAAATTGCTGCAGTGTCATGCATGACCTGACAGAACCGTTGCGATAATAGAGGCTACCTGCAACACAGAACGTTAACCCAAAGGGGCCGCTTCATATCCTTTGCCAACGCACAGATCAACCGCCATATGGGAACACCCTAAGAATCCAAGACGATGCGTGAGATGTGGTAGGGTCTCCATACGATATATGAGCAATCAGTACCTTCACAAGCTCTCCATTGGCGCTGGATCATCGGTCTGTACACCTACCGACGTTGTGTGACGGTCTCGCGTGGCATACTCCTCGAGCCAGGCTTCTGCGGCCCCGCGCGTGCTAAGCTTCTTATAAACCGCACCCGGATAATCGCGTACTTGCTTGTAAGCCTCTTTCCTATCACGCCATCAGTGCATGGCCGATGACAGGCTAAAACGTCACGATGGGGATGTCAGGTAGCGGGGGAGTGTGCGCGGGCGAAGCATTTGACAAGACTAAACATACCATGTATTGTAGATGCCGCGTTGGCGACCAATATAGACGGCATATGCCGGACCACTAGCTTTTTCCTTCTGACTGGGCATATACCACTGGTGAGGGTCCGTGGTTGAGAGTTGGTTGAGCGCGCGCATGAAGCGCATCTTCCAGCTCAATAACATTGACCCGAACACGTGCTCCCTTGTGAATCCTCATGCAGCTGTACACCTGGATCACCGTACGTACTCTCCTTTCGCGCGTTGACGTCCTACTCGAACATACCTCCGTAGGCACCCTTGTGCGCATCGGGGGCATGATCACCCAAGTCATCTTCGGGCACTCTCTTCGGATCCGCATGAAGCCGAGGTCTCTGGCTCCACCCCGCGCCCTCCGCCGCTCCCACGCCTGACACCGCATCACTTGCCGGTGACGCTGATACCGTTGTTAGCGAAGACGTGAGCCACATCGGCGAGGCGAGCAGCACTACCACTGCCAAGAGCTCGGGGTCTAGTGTCAAATGCAAGGCAACAGCCGCGGACGATGAGAAGGGCGACAACCTGGTGGGGAAGATCAATAGCCTTGTCGCAGTGAATCAGGACAACATTTCAATGGTCGCGTTTTGGCTCTACTTTGTACGTTCATTCCTATGCTTCGTATAGGCACCCGTACTGACAGTCGCACAGTCGTCTTCTGATGTAGCCGTGATGATCGCCTGCTTGCCTCTCCCTGGTTGGGTGGCAAAGCGGATCCAGTCTATTCAAGAGACCGCGATGAAGAACACAGATGCACGTATGCAGACAGCGACGGGGATGCTCGGCGTGTTTCGCATGATTAAGCTTTTTGGTTGGGAGCAGAAGATCGAGGATTGGATTTGGCTTGCCCTGATCAGGCTAGACGAGGAGTTGAACTTGAAGTGGAACAAGTCGCGGGAGCTTGCCACGCTCGCAACGCACATTCTGGATCAGTATGTCTTTCTTTCACTTCATGAATCACAACTAACCTCACTTCGGCTTTAGCGTCATTCCGTTGTTCCAGATGGTGGCGACTATGTGGTGCACACACTGGTCATGAAGAAGGACTTTACCGCCTCGAGGCTATCGCCGTGTTTGACGTCCTTCTTGACGACCTGCAGATGACGGTTTCCTTCATCTCTCCTCTCATCCAAGGCACGCAACAATATCATGCTTCTCGATCAAACATGCGCTCATGATTTCATAGCCAAGATCTCGCTGGACCGTGTCATCGAGTTCTTGCAGAGGACCGAGCTGTTGGACCACTACACCGAGCAGCTCAATCACGAGGATGTTATGCAAGATCCGACCGAGACGACTGGCGCCCCGAAGACAAGCTGTCCATCGGCATCAACGACACGTCCTTCACCTGGTCCGCAACTGATACCGATGGATCACTCACTCACTCTCGCCCTATCTCCACTCTGCATGTCCCCGATAAACTCGAGTTCAAGCGCGGTGCCGTCAATATCATTGTCGGTCCCCCCAGGTCTGGAAAGACGAGCTTGCTCATGGCGCTTCTGGAAGAGATGGATGATTGCATCCCAAGCCGCTCACACCGGACGCTTAGGTCAATCTTCCGCGAGAGGGTGGGATTGCCTATGCAGCGCAAGAGAGCTGGGTGCAGAACGAGACTGTCCGGGACAACATCCTGTTCGGCGCGCCTTCTAATGCGGAGCGATACAAGAAGGGTAAGCCCGCCGTCGCACTGCCCTTGTAATTGATTGTTGAAGCGCTTCTACGTCAGTGATCTACCGGTGCGGTCTGAAATGCGACTTGTTCTTGTTCGAAGCCGGTGATAAGGCCGGGGTCGGCGAGAAGGGCTTGACTCTGAGCGATGGCCAGAAAGCCCGAAACGACGTTCTTGCCGCTCTCGGTGTGCACACCTCGAAATGAATCGTTGAGAAATGCTTGGAGGGGGAGCTTGCGGGGTCACACGGTCATCCCTGTTGTACGTTCCTCTTTCGCTATGCTGAGCGTACTCTCGCTTATACAGCCTTACAGACGCCTAACGTTGCTCTTGCCGGCCCTATCTCGGACTACGTAGTTGCGTTCCATAGTGGTCCTCCGTCTCGTTCCGCACCGGCATCTGGGTGTACACTCTCGGTGTCATTCGTGCTGCCAGGAAGATTCACGCACAACTCATGGACGCCATCCTCGGTACAACTCCGCGCTTCCTGGACTTGATCCCCAACTCGTGCATCATCACACGGGCAGCTAAGGGCAGTCGTGCTGTCGACGGTCCTTTCGCTACCGAGTTCCAGTCGCTCATTCAGGTCGCCGACCATGATCATCAAACTCATTGCCGTCGTCGTCGTCGCTCCCGCCCTCCCCGTTCCCGGCTTTCTCGTCTTCGTCATCGGCCGTTGGTTCGGCAATATGTATGCGACTGCACAGCTTTTCGTCAAGCGTGAGATGCCGGCGCGCGCCCGTACGTGGTCACTTCGGCGCCGCCATCGCCGGGATCAGTACGTTTGCTACTTCTCAGATGTCTTCGTCATTGCCCATACCTCCGTAGCTTACATACGCGCTTAGGGCGCTCAACTAGCTTTCCCCTTGGAATCGCACGGGCGTATCAATGACTACACGCGTGCAGGTCGTACGTTATACAACCTGAACCGCTGGATAAGTACTCGTATCGACGTCGTCGGGGGCCTCTTCTCGCCAGCTCTGGGTGCCTATTTCGTCTACGGTCTATCCAACAGCAGCGCCCTACCGTCCAACGTCATTTTACCCTTTGACTATGGCCGGTGCGTGGCGTTGTCCCCGGCTCATCATGCAGTACTAACAGGGTGTTTAGTTGGGTTCAGCAGCATGATCTTGTGGTGGGCACGGATTTACCACGACTTCGAGGTCAAGGGCAACAGTCTCGAGCGTCTGGAAGGATACGTGGTCATTGAGCAGGAGCCCAAGCCCGTTCAGGAGAAGAAGCCGGCGGCCGCATGGCCGACCAGTGGTGACTTACGCGTCGAGGGACTGTCTGCGTGCTACTCTCCGGACGGAGCTAAGGTCCAATGAGCGTTATTTCCATGTCAAGTCTGGCGAGCTAGTGGGTATCGTTCCTCGTACTGCTAGCGGTTGAGTTCTTTGACTCTCTCGCTCCTGCTGTGCATATTTACCGAGGGCGACGTCGACTACGATGGCGTAAACACGGCTAACATCAACCTTGACGTATCGCGAACCAACGTCACGATTATTCCTCAAGTGCCCGGGCTGCTCAGCTAGACCCTGCGGGAGAACTTAGATCCCTTCGACGAACACGATGAAGCGGTGCTGAACTCGGCTCTGCGTACGTCTAGTCTGTTCTCGCTGCAGAGCGAGACGGGCGACGGCCGCATTACGCTCGAGATCTCCGGCGGCGGCGGCAACTTGAGTGTCGGCCAGCGTCAGATCCTAGCGCTTGCTCGTACTCTTGTGCGCGGTAGCAAACCGCCTGCAGACCATTATGGATGCCGATAAGATCGTACGTTCTCCTCATTCCAGGTCTCGATCTGCGCTCATGTCAATCTGCAGATGGTGCTAGATGCCGGTCGCATCGTTGAGTTCGATGGACCAAGGGTGTTGGTGAGGAGGGAAGGCGGCTTCTTCAAATCGCTTGTTGATGAGAATGGTGACAAGGACGCGTTGTACGCTATGATTAGCAAGTAAAACGCTTGCGTCAGAGTTCACAAAGCTGTTTCTGTAGACATATAGTGTCCCTGTAATACCGTTCTTACGCGCCACAGTTGTCATAAGTGTAAACATGAATGTTTGATCGGAAGCATGGAAGATGCCGATCAGGTCTGAACGCGACGCGACGCGTCTCGCGCCCTTGTTCTCATACTTCCAAGAATGGCGAATGGTCCAGTTGAAGATGAGCTCCCCGAGGCCGAGCGCCCGCTTTCACCGCCACCTCACACAACCTTTGCATCACGCGGCCTTCGTGTGCGCTGAACATATTTCCCCGAAAGGCCGAGTTACCGACGTCGAATTTGTGGGAACGTGCTCAGGCTCCGAACTTCGCGCTCTTCCGACCTCGCGACATGAGAATCACCAACGCGAACGGCACGACGCATATAGATTGGTTGTGATGGAAAAGAGCTGGCTGCTGCGGGTGTGGATAAACTTGGAGGTGGCCGGAGTGTATGTCAGCTTTACGTCACCTGTATAGTCGAAGATGGACTCACGACGGAACCAAATCTTGTCGGGCGGACATGCGGAGACGATCGACTACTGTGCTTGGAATCCTACGCGTCCTGAACTACTTTGTACTGCCTCTGGAAGGGATCGGTGTATTGTCTTTTGGGATGCGCGACGTACTCTCTCCTTCGCCGCCTAATCGAACATGTGTTCAAATTCAATAGAAACCCGACCAACCCAGACGTTATCCCTAAAGTTTGCTCCAGCAAGAACGAGTTAATCTCCCGGTGGTCGTGTATTACTTGTAGCGGGTACCAACAACACCGTCTACATCTTTGGCCTCGGGAAGAACGACAACGGGAAGGAGGCTTGGGCGCCCTACTTCGATGAAGGGGTATGTTATAGCCCACTTACTCTTCAATCAGGCATCTAACGGACCCTGCAGAAGCAATCGTTCAATTTATTCGGCTCAACAGCCATCTTCAATCGCGCGGGAGACGGCATCATCTTGACGCACAACAACCAACACACCATACGTGAACACGACTTCCCGACCCTAAAGGTAGTGTTTGAAGTTCAAACACATTCAGGTTCGGCGCTGATACTCGCTATATCAGGCATTATGAGAATGCTGCTCCTCATGTATCTGGGTGTAGCGCTGCAGCTTTAGACACTACTTGGTATCTGGCGGTAACGACTCTATCGTCGACTTCTTTGACACGTCTGAGTGGATGTTCACGAGGACTATCGCGTCTTGCGAGTGCGTATCCGTCAGTCTGTCGTAGCGCTCCTAAACTCACTAGATCTGCAGTCATTCGGTGACCTGCGTCAGCTTTCCATTCGACGGCGAATTTATCGTCATTGATATAATAAGTTCGTCAGTGCCGTTGCAACGATAAGTGTACTCATGCGTAGTCAGTGCGCAACGGAGACCGGCGCCTTACTCCATCGTGTGCCAACCTTCTGCTGGAATCCATTCAAGTGACAGTTCGCGTTCTGCGGTCAGACAAAAACGCCGCCTATGGCCGTCGTGAGCCTATTTGGACTAGGAGTATGAGTATCGCACGCCTTCATCGTAGTAATGTACTATATCATCGCTCGACGCCATTCTGCCTCTCGTCACCGCCCGGGCCTGTGTGGCCCTGCTCTTTCCGAACGCGTAAATATAGCTTTCGGCATGCGTGAGAGGTCCTTGGTAGTATAGTATAAGTGACCAGCAAGGCCGTACGGTAATACGAACACTGTTCGCGGCCTCAGGCTAAAAACGTATCCTAGCCAGCTAGTAGAATGAGAATGATGTGTACTACCCCATCACCCTAGAGATAGGGATGACGATAAGACCTCCAGCTCGCGCAATTATTTTTGGGTGGGAAAGCACGGGTAATCGCGCAGGATGAACGTGTGCTTGATGGGCGATCGCGCGAAAACCACAGCCGCGCCAAAGGCTCTTTGTGACATCGTTCATCTCACGTGATCGCGTTTTCCTGTATATCAGACCGCGGCTGAACGTTGGTGTGTGGCAGCCCACTTCCCCCCCCCCATTGCGTCCTATCTGAAGGGCGCGTCATTGTCACACAGTCTTACTCGATGCAGATTGCGAGGGCTTCCTGAGCTACCGGTAGCTTCGATTTTGCAATGCCGCGTGCTGGAATCAGGTCTCGGGTATATCCATCCACCCACACGTCTTATCATGCGGTATGTAGTTCATCGTACAAGGCTGTGGTCTCTACTGACATGTAAAATAGCCTCTCTTCTTGACGACAGCTGGCATAGATCCCGGTGGCATGGGGAATGGAGGGATGGGGCAGGTGCGTTTGCCGGCGCGCAACTCACAAATATTCCTTCCTAACCTGACTCCACGCACTAGTTTTCCGCCTTCCAGGTCCCGGAACAGGCTGAGACCCCGGTGCAGGCTGGTATAGACGCCATGCTGGCATACTGGATCTCGTAGACCCCTCCTGGAGTTGTTGCCGCCCCCGACTCCCTCGAGTTTGTCCGATACCCCGCCCCTCAATCTCCTCATACGCTCGGAACACGCTCGGCACCGGCCTTGACTCTGAACACCAATGACCACTCTCCATTCTTGAACCCGGCTACACCGCTATTTACTTCCGACACCATCAAGCGGTCGATGGCAATGTACTGATGTGCGATGGATAATAATGTCACGATTCTACAACAAGCTCTGGAGGACTTGGTCAAATTGACGCGTCTGTTTGAGGCGCATCTGAGGCGCTCTACGCCAGGTCCGTCTACCTTACAGCAGTGTCAAGTAATACGAGCTGACGTGATCCACCCAGCTCGCTGACTTCGCACAACACAGACAGTGATGGGCGCTTTGCGCCTTACCGCTCGCCTCAGGCTGTCGCCACTAGCGCAGACCTGAGCGCAACCAACAAAGTATCAACCGGCGCCACCCTCACGGGAGGTGCCCAGTCGGACGACGTCGGCGAAACCACATCGGCGCGCTACAGAGCAGTGCAGATCGTGACCGCTCCGATGATCGTACCGTCGCACACGCATGCCACTTATCACTCTGCCAACGCGTCAGGGCGCAAGCGCACGGGAAAGTGGAAGAATGCGAAGGAGGAGAAGACGTGGGCCGTGATCAGCTCGACCTCGATGGACGACATGGCGTTCAACACGGACAACAACTCTCACGAGTGCAGCTTCGTGCCGTCGACAGTCCATGAGAATGGCAGTGTCACCGTGTCCGCGCCATGCGAGATGACGTTCGATGACAAGACACAACGCGATCGGATGATGGGTGCGGCGCTTGGAATGTCACCGCATGTCTCAGTAGGGAGGTAGAACGCGAACTTACGGACGAACCGATGATTGTCTTCTTTCTTATGCAACTGAATTGAATGTTCTTGTATGCACCTCGAGGGATGTGGCACGTCGAAGAAACCAGCGACCGAGGGGCACGGTGACCAGATGTCTCCCGGCTTCCAGAGTACTTTCGTCTCCGTGAGGAGGATTGGTAGAGTAGCAGCGGCGTTGAGACAGGTATGGCAGAGCGCTGATCGATAGGATTTTCAACATGAAGAGGTCTTTGTACAGTGCTTCATGTAGGTATTGCAGTCGAAGCAGAGAGGTGCCATTTCAGGTTTGTACTACAGTTGTAGTCTTTACGTCCATAGAGTGGTTACAGGTAAGCTTGTCGATGCGGACAACGCACGGTTTGATTGCCACGTGTGTGGCCACAAAGCCATGTATGTCATTCAATATCAGCATCTCGATGCTCGGCTGAGCCGGCTCTTGTCTTCGCACCACCGTCATCTCGTGGTCATTGGTACTATCCTATATGAAAAGTCCTCAAAGATATACTTCGGACGGATCTACGGACATTGGGAGCAGAGCTAGCTAAAGCACGAAGGAGAAAAGCGCTTGAGATCCTAAATGGCATCGACGACCTCACCCGCCATCGCGTACAACGCATCCTTGTCTTCAACCTCGTCCACAAGCGACTTCAGGAAACCGCCATCTTTCTTCAGGAGGACCTTGGGGCTGTCATATTCGACAATTCGGCCAACATCAAAGGCCGTCTGAAAGGAACATTAGCAATCATCGAGATTAAGGGCAGAGCGAACGTCCGATCTTGTCAGCGTCCATGATTGTCTGCAGACAATGGGCGACGGTGAGAAGCGTCATGTCTACACCGAGCTCGCTGCGAAGTGAGGACGATGGTGTCTGTCCCGTAGTCGATCGAGTACGTCGCTTCGTCCGAGATAAGCAGCTTGCTACCACGAACGAGTGCACGGGCAAGAGCCAAGGTCTGACGTTGACCGACACTCAAATTCCCACCCCCCGCTCCAGATCTGCGGGTCAAGCGTAATGCGGCGCGAACGTCGCCCGTCTCGCTTTGCAGTGAGAACAGACCCGATGCACGCAACGCCGAGTTGAGGTGCTCGCTGAACGGATCAAGATTCTCGCGCAGCGTTCCGCTCAACAGCTCGGGTACTTGAGGGATGATGGTGACGTTGGTCCGCAGTACGTCGAGGTTGAGGTCTGCCGTGTTGACCCCGTCGTGGTAGACGTCTCTTTCGCTATAGATACAGCGCAAGAGCGAAAGTGCGAGCGAGCTCTTTCCACTGCCGGTGCGGCCGACGATGCCGAGTGGCGGTGAACGATATGTCGTGGAGGGCTTTGGGACCTTCCGGGGAGTAACGCGCGGAGAGTCCTTCGACACGCAATTCACCGCTACACTACCGTCAGATTGCACAATCGGTTGAACACCATCTTGGTGCAAAACCAAAGGCGCTTGGTTACACACCGATTTCTGGGTTGGTGTCAAACCCAAGCCTCGCCATCGGTTTCAAACCGAGATAGCTCAGGCAGTGTAGTTGGCCATGACACCGGCGGTGCCTTCTCCTTCACGGGTAGGCTCCTGCTCAATCTCAAGGTATGCCTGGATGCGCTCGAGGCTTTTTTCATTACTCGAGACCATTGCCTTCAATGACTTCGAAGTCGTTGAACACCCTGACCTATCACCTACCCTACTCGTCAGTATCGTGATTCATAACATCTCGAGCCGATAGCGCACGCACAGGATCATGTTGCTAAAGGCGGCTGAAGACATATGAGTACCGTGTCCGATGGTCCTGCGATACTACTCAACGGCCACTACTCACCGGCCATGGCAAGCGAGAACTCGACATTGGATGCGCCGATGACTGCGGCGCCTGGCCTATAGACCATGTAGACCCCGAGACCAGACGGGAAAAGGGCGGCGAGCGCGTCACTGCGCGTACTGATCCAACGCTTGAAGCCGTAGTACATCTTATCCGAACGCGTATAGTTCTTGATGCGCTTATACGACTCCTTGCGGAATGCAGCTTCCACACTGTATGCTCGAATAGATGCTATACTACATACCAGTACAATGTTCTCGGATGGGTATCGATCAGACTCACTCAAACTGGCCATGGCAGCGCCAAAGTGGCCGAGTACAGGTGCCTTCTTATTGCTCATCTCTCGCTTCACCGGTAATTGCACTTTCGTGTCGATATTACCAAACCAAGCCCCGACGCAAAAGACCGCGATGCCAGGGAAGACTACGGCGGGAGCGATGAGCGCAATAGCAACAAGCTGGCTGATCAGTTGCGCGGTGACGCTCACTGTGCTCAATCAATACACTAACGCACACGTCATAGGGGAGATCAACGCACTGAACCACCGGGATTCTCCCGCAAGCTGTCCAGCAGTCGCTCTGATGTCCTTCGTAAAGCGGGTGATCACCCTAGACACTGGCTTCTGGTCTAGCCATCGCAGCGTTGTGCCAAGGATAGAGTCGGTGAGAAGGGCGTAGATCTTCTTGGCTGCTCGGAGAATCCCAAATACGTAGGTGGCGCTATAAATGAGATACGAACCTGTGGTGCAGATAACAACAATGACGAAGTTCGTTCGTAGCTGTGCGGGAACACGATGGCAGCGCCCTCACTAGATGACATCCACATCTCCCGGAAGTGAATACGCATCTGCCCAGCGACCTACCCAGTATGACTGGTTACATGTGAGTAACACGCTCGGGTCCATATATACACGAGTACTGACTTGTAAGCTCACAAGGTTATGACATCCGAAGATGAAATTGAAGAAAGAGAGCCAAGATAGTACAGGGTGCTTGCCCTCAAGACCCGCCCGGGAGAGGTTGACTGCCTGCAGTCGTGAGGATCGTACAATATCACATCAAAGTATATGTAGCTCACGAGCGTGCAGGGAGACGTGACCTTCCGCGACTTCTTCCTTCACGACCAACTTTCCGTCGGCCTTGGCAGTCGCAGGATTGTCCGAATCCTCGGGCTCTTCGATCTCTTCGTGAGGATCTCTGTTTCTGGAGCGACCTCGTCAGCCAGTTCCATATCCTTAGTCGGCCCGCACCATCGTCCCGGTCTGCCAAGCGTCCGCGTCAGTTGTCTGCCGCACAATAACGTATAACGTCGGCACGTACGGTGGTGAATGTATAGTACTGCATTGTCACATCGCCCACAAACGGACCGAGGAACATCAACAGACGAACAGACACCAAACCCAAGGTCACACCCTTGCGCCTTCTCCGCCCGACTTGAGATACCTATCCAGAACATGAGTGGCGGTGGACAGCAAACGAGAGTGGTCCTCTTACGCAAGAAGCCGATTGATGCCCACAGGCGCAAAGAACGAAGTACATGGTGCTTCCGCTACGATGTTGAGGAGAGCCAGACCGGACGCGTAGAGCTATACTTTGCATGAGTGAGCTGCACACGTCCTGTAGCTCGAGTACACACATAGGTCAAGAAGAGCACAAGGACGAGTATCTCGTCCTTCGCCATATGTCCTGGGTGATTGCGCGACTTGACGACGCGCACGAACTCGTACGTGTAGAGGAAGAGTAAGGCGAATGCACATATTGCCCGAGCTACTCTTCAGGCGTAGATCCTGATTCCACCGAGCGAGAGGACATGCACGCGTAGGCTTTTGGGGGTCATGTTTTGCTGATGTGGATGGGTGACCTCGGAAAGTGTGCTATGCAAGGCACGAGATTTAGATGAAAGGACCGCGATGCCCATCGATACGGCTGCAAAGTACAGGTATCATCCGTATATCCCTCCATAATCTGCAATACGATGTATCAGTTAGAGAACTCGAGCACCAGGATAGGTCTACGCACGGCATAGGTGTGTCCTCTGGCGTGATGATATAGGTAACCGCGTTCACAACGACCTGTGAATCCATGGCTTGGGGTAGTCCACAAACGACCGCGGGGCAATCAGCGCGCGACGAAGGTGGGGGATCTATACAACTAGAGCGAAGCTCGTAGTTGGCAGTCAAGCTCGAACCAAAGAACCTAGCGGCATGGCATCGGTGGACAGTTGAGAGGAGTCTGTAGGCGCTCGATAGCCATCAGCGCTTCTCGGTCGCGTTTGCACGCCCATTCAGTCGGAAGTTGCCATTTGATGGGGAGAAGCATGAGGTGGACACGCCGTTCGGCGAGCGGTGGCCACAAGACTACGTTGCGTAAACATAGATAGTATGTGACAAAGTGGTAGATTTGGGTAAGCGTAAGCCGGGTCTGGGTATCCCAAGGCGTAGCCAAAGTCATGATCGTGTGAGGGAGAGGTTCGCCCGCGTCGGCGTTTGATGCAGACTGCGCTATCAGGCGCTGGCCGCGCCCACGCGAAGCACGCGCGATTGCGTCGTCGCGCTACCCATCTTGGACGCGTCGACCATCATCGGTTCTGTACTGGAGAGCTACAGGCAGCAGGGTTGAGTCTCGTCTTAGCATGCAACACACGGCTGTAATCCGATTGTGGCACCACCAACTTGCACCTGGCGCGGTACTCGAATTGAGTGAGAAGCGTACTATTCGCGATCATCCTCCATTCTGATTCTGTCGTCGAACCAATGCAGCTCGGGAGAGAGAGTGCCGCTCTCGCACGATTTATTTCTGGCCACGTTAAGTGCCTCAGAGGCCTCGGTTCCCAATACCGGTACAGTCTGCATCTTGCCGCGATTTCTCATCCTCTTTCTCTAGAATACTTGTATCGGATCCGCTCGCATGCTTGTCATTCAACCCATCTTCTTTGCGCCTTGAAGCTAGATCATCCGGGTCTCGTCATCTATGTTGAGGTCTTCACTTTTACAAGTCACGCCGGTGTACACTTATCTAGCTTGGATATCTACAGCGTTAGTATCTAGGCCGCGTGGTTCACTGTCGAACGCCATGGTCAACTACGGGCACTTCTGGGGAAAGTGCGCTACGAGCTGATGATACCCTTGACTAGCTACCAAGGCAAGTGTCAAAGGAACCTGTTGTGTTCAAGATGTTCCGCCTTGATCGCTGTATGCTCTCGACAGTTTACCGTGAGAGTACACGCACGAGAAACCGAGCTTTGCACCAAAAGAGCAACGTGATGATATGAAAGTGTACGTGCGCAATTACTTTGAAACGAGGGCGACTGACATACGTAACGTGCAGCATAATGCAATAGGTTCGGAAGTTGCTAACTGGAGCATACATGATTCCGACGACTGGCATTCTGCCTCGGTTTTTTATGTTCAAAAACTTTGTATGCCGTTCCGTCAAAGGCGACAGTTTAGACATATACGACTGCACGCAGGTGGCTTAGCTAACTTCCAGAGCAAGAGACCGGCTACTTGAAGCAGCATGAATGATACCACACGTGGACTATGGGATCATTCAGATATGCCAAAGTCTGTATAGAAGACTTCAGCGGTAAATCTAGTCGTAATTAGTACTAAATCAAGTGACCGGATAGTACAACAGAAGACACGCACTGATTGCCTTCGAAAAGGACGTAGTCTTGCGTGATCGCTGCATACAAAACCTTGAGTCCCTGCAAGGCCAGAAGGCGTAGCTGTATGTATCCCGCTCCCGAGCGGTAATGGCGTAGGACAAGGACATGCTCTCTAGGCAGACCGTTTGCGATCTGCAGCTTGCGTCCGACAGTTACTTCTTCGATGGCACGCCGGTCGAGGTACTGGACAAACTCCTTCAGATACGGAGACAGCTGCTGCGTCATTGCATCCTCGTATGCGCCTGGTATAGCCAATATACTGCGTTCGACCTTGAAGAGCTTCTTCAACACGGCTCGCATTGCGACAGATGAGTCAGACAAGATGATTGGGTCGGCCATCATGGGGTCTCGATGGGCAGGAAAGCTGCCGTATCGAGGAGATGAAACATAGGTACTGTCCAGAGAGCCTCGATTAGTATAGTGCAAGTAGTAAAGTAGACGTACTAACACATCAGTTGGCAAACACTCTGAAGCAAAACTGGGCGGGGCTCCACTAACATCATCGTAGAACACCGTATTTCCTCGAACCTGAAACGTGCAAATCCACAAATAAGCAGCACATCACGCAGGTAAGCTACTCAGATACGAACGTCGTATTGCTTTGCCATCCTTGAGCGGGTTACGGTGTCGCACGGTCACAGAGGATGATGTAGAGGAGTCGCAATCAGAGGAACCGCTTGGGGGATTATATACATCGCTAGGTCTGAGACTCTAGCCTGCGCCGGAGTACTTCATAGAAGGACAGAAGATGGCGTGATGTAACCGGAGCGCCGCTATCATTTCACCGGGTATGGCTTCGGAAAATCGGAGCGCGCGCACACGCCTCCGAGCTTCCCGCGCTACTTCTGCGCACCCGCGCCCATGTCCTCCCTCGCCAATCCCCGGGTCTCTTTCTTCACTCTCTACACATGTACATGGCAAGCGTAGCACACCGTCGATGCTGTGCGAGACTAACCAAGCGATAACGACGTAGCGGCTTCGGGCCGCGGGGTGTGTGCCATGCCACAGATCGCGTCGTCCTCTCTCGTCCTTCGACTTGTAACTTACTGATTCAAACGGAGGAGCTGTTCATCATGTGTATGCTTGCAAACTTCTGTCTGGATAGTACTGGTAGTCTTCTGCACTGAGTTTTCCAGCAGAAACTTGATCAATGGTATATCCCGTCGCTGCTGAGCACTACATACCTAGAGAATGAGCTGTCAGATACTTCGGCTATTAATTCGGGATACTGATCATCAAAGAATAGGATTCAGATATCAGATAGACAAGAGAGGACGGCGCAATCTGTGGTATGGAACGCGGCAAGCCACGTGAGCGCGTCACCATGCGGCTCAAAGCCCCCACGTTGTTATCTCGTGGTTAGTCTCGCACAGCGCTGACGGTGGGCTACGCGTTATTCATGCAGATGTGTATGGGTGAAGTGAGGGACAAGAAGACTGGCGCGGGAGGACATGGGCAAGGGGTAGGTAGGCTCCGGGCGCGTCGGCCGCGAATCCAACTTGATCCTCTGCCTGGGGTTTGCCGAGGAGCTTCAGAGGCGATTCAAAGCTGTTTTGGTGAGGCCCTGTCGGGTTAAGCGTAGTGCATATGACGATAAGTCAGCGTAGGCCTCTGGCCGTCATCACTGCGTGCGTCTATTCGTACTGCATATTGACAAGCGACAGCCACCAAGACAGCACTGCCCTCAATTGCCTCAGTACACTCCTTTTCGGGTTGATTGGTCCGGCCCCGTGCCTACGAGCGCTCGCAGGCCCGGAGGACCCTTGGCGCGGGGATGCAGAAGTACTTTGAAGTAGCGCGGGAAGCACGCGCTCCCGATTTTCCCCAACGTTCTGTCTGCCATACTTAAATAACGCGGCGTTCCAACACCGATGCCCGTCAGATTCGGCTTGGCTTGACGTGCAGTTCAACTTCTTTGAAGCGAGATAAACATTAAAGCAGTCGTACAAGGGACTCGTACTCGCGGGTTGGTGATGTAGAGGTCGCTGGAATGGAAAGAAAGTCTTAGTGGGAGCTCCGCCACGTAGTCGTGACAGCCCACCTCAAGGGACAAGCTCTCCAAGCAGCTCTCCGTCTGGCTCGGGAAAGCTTCAGTAACGGGGCGCTTCGCACCTCTGTGCGCCCCTGTGTTCGCACGAACAATTGTGCACAATTCACCAGATGAGCGCGCCTACGGCGCTTCCCTTTTCTACAAGCCGACTCGATGTCTTCCTGCTTACGCGCAGGCCATACGGACTTGGCCTAGCTGGCCTACGAGAGTACGTAGAGCAGTGTCGGCTACTAGTTCGCTGGTGAGGTTGGTTGAGCTCGCAGGGCCGAAAACGCGGTCAGATAACCTTCCGTTCAGAAGCGCCGCCCATAAACGCCTCGCGTATCGCGGATGATTGCGCGCGCTCTGGGCCCGCGGACTCGAACAGCTGTACGAGGGAAAGCTGAGTGACCGAACCTTTCTAGAGTAGGCCAGCCGAGCAACCACCACGCGAAGCGTCATTCAGTTTCCTAGGGTGGTGGGTGGGATGAACAACCTGCGCGACGCGGCTTGTGCTCGTCGTGGTGTGAGGAAAATTCGCTCTCGGCTTTCCCCGAAGCCGCGTATGTCTCTTCTTGCATTGCTAGCCTCGTGCTAACCTCAATGATTCAGATCTAGAATCGCGGCCTCTCTCGCGGCGATTCCCGACTCTTTCCGAGTTTCCCTTGGCCACCCGAAAGCGGCCACTCGTACCTCGCATCTGCGTGCGTATAATGTGGCTCTGAGTCGTCGAGTAACTATCAAAGATACTGACTGAGCGATCTCCAGAACCCTAAAACATCCGCGAAGACCATGCATAATGCATAACTGCCGGTCACTAATCGTCGGGCAGTAGCCGGCTAGCTTGGCTAGGTTTCCTGCAAGTTTCCTGCCCTTAAAACCTGTCCAGGCACTGCTCAACCGGGGTTTGCTCAGGCTGTGCCGGGACGCCGGATGACGCAAATAATTGATCCGGTCTCGAAACGCGGCGTCGAGCCTACGTCGAGCGGAATCAAGTCAACGCTAAGTACATCAAGTACACGGCGAGTGCATAGCCCAAATTGGGTGGAAGTACGGTCCCGAGCGCGAGCCTGGTTGAGTCAACATGCTTGCCAGTATCGTGCGGGTGGGGGCCGCGCAAGCAGTAAACACAAACACCAGGCTTAGCGCATTTAGCGACGAACTGGATACTTCCTCGAAGTCTCCGATTGAGAATATGAGAAACTCAGACGCTACAGAGCAAGGAAATAAACTAGGTTCCTGCGTCTCAGGAAAGCGGGATTTACTTTCGCAAGCACGATTGAGTTCCAGATCGATAAGATATCGGGTGGCCGTGATAGAGACCGCCGTGATCGGGCGTGGACGGGCCACGAAACTCAGACTCGTACCTTCATCAACATCTGAGTGAATTAGGTTGACGACGCCACTGTGCGTCCGTGTTTCAGTTCGTCCATACACACCGGACTACACGAGCGAAGTTGCGCAATACTCAGCGATTCAACAGGGGTCACAGTCGTTAGTATTTGCGCAGACCGGTGAGTTGTACCATCCCATGTCCACGCCCTGTTTGTCCTGTCGGCGCCATCTGAATGCTGCCCTAGCATCTGCATCTGATCAGCTGGCGAATCAACTATGCTCACTGTGCTCATGCAGTACCGTCCCCCTCCCTTGCGCGCTGCCCATCCTCGCTTCATCACGCCGACATGGCCACAAACTACACTACAACTCCTTCGGCCTCACGTCCCGACCACCACAATCTTAGCTCTGCGCATATGCCCCCTCTCCCTTTGACTCGCGACTACCTGCGCATCGCCGGCGGTTGGGTTCCTTTTTATCTTGGCAGTGTACCCGGCCGCCACTATACATTGTCGGCTTTCCATCATCTGGGAACTCGTCAACCAGGCGACTGCGCTCATTCATCCGCGGTAGACGCCTGTCTAGTCTCCGAAACACCCACGCACCTTCAATCTTCGATCTCTACCTCTTACTTTCTTTCCACAGAGTCGCCCGCTGCACTGTCATGGCGGCCGGCCAGCCCACCGCAACAGTCCTTTCCTACGCCGGGGCCATCTTTGCCCTCGTCATTGCCGCCTACTGTATTGGTACCAGTCTCTACTGTCCGCTCGGTCCCTTCCGTTGGTTCAGTGTCCCGTGCACCTTCCTCTTCATTCGGCAATCGGTCACTATCTCCTGGTCGTCGACCTTCAACGCGTGGTAAGCGGTTTACCCATACCTGCGATAGGCAGACCGTCGTTCATATGCCTCTAAATCAAGAACATCTAGACGTCGAGCTTCCACCGTCACCACGAGACACGCCTGAACAGAGCGGGGGTTCTCATGACAATCGACGGGTAAGCATGTTAGTCTGCTTCGATGACATGACGACTAATACCCAATGGTACAGTCAGAGTCGCAAGGGCGGTTGAGATTGAAGGCGGCTGTAGGTTATTTCCGCACGATTGCCGAGTTCACCAGCAAATCCCAACGCTTGAATTCCAGTGTACCAATTGTGCAGCATCTGGTAAGAAGTGTGAAGAGGCGCGCCCATGCAGCCGATGCATCAAACGCGGACGTAGCAGTACTTGTGTGAACCATGTGCGTAAAACGCGTCAGAAAGGTGTCAAGAGAGGTGAGTCTATCATCTTACACACGGGACAACGCTAACGCATGCCGGGTTAGGTCCGTATAAGAAGAAAGTACTCGCCGCCGATTTGACTATCTCCCAAGTGCGGGAGATGTATCTCAAAATGAGAGCGGAAGGCTTGCCATTAGGTTGGTAGACGGAGAAGCTTGTGTCCACGTCAACTCTTGATTTTTCACCCTGACACCAATCTGTCCGTCCTAGACATTGATTCACCACTGCTCGCAGAGTCTTCCCCGGATCCTTCCATGCTCCTCGACGCGTCCCTGTATGCGCCGCGTGAGGGATCCATAGGTCCTAGGGCGAACCTCGTCACAAATCTTTCACCACGAGGCACCGCACAATTGACGCAAAAGGGTGCACAGGGTACCGGTTCCATCGTTGTGGAGCAACGTAACAATGAACCTGGTAGCTCGGGCGCTAAATTGTCAATGCCTCCGAACGGCAGTCTGCTTGTTGACCAAGCCGCGGCGCGGGGCGATGTCACATTACCTCCTAGACAGCGGAAGAATCGTAAGTCGAGTGACTTGCGATCAAAGACCTACAGCACATCATCTGACCGATGCATTTAGGTTCAGGAGAAGACAGTGTACGGTAGTTTGGCCGCTTCGAAGCCTCCGCTCGTTTCTTCATCAGCCTTTACACACATTACCGCACCGGGATAAACACGTATATTTTCGTTCCTTAATACTCACTTCGATGAAATGGGTAACATCGACCACCCCTAAACCACATGAGAGCGTATGCACTCCGGAATTGACGGCTCATCCTGGCCCTTTCTGCAAAAAAGCCTCGACCCATACAAGCCTTGGGTAAACCAAAGAAAAACCATTCTATCGCCCGAAACTAGAGACAGCCTGATACGTAACGATATGGGCCCCCAGGTATTCCCTACGAATGTTTGGCTGTAGCCCGTGGAGGGGTCGATGAATGGCCGTAATGATGTGATCTCCCCTGCGGCAGGTCCGTAGCTACATGACTACGTGCCATTATTGCTCAAGTTGAAGTAGAATGACCCAACATCACGTACCAATCACCTGAAAGAATTGAGGACCACGTTGCTGAGCCGCTTGACGGTGTGGAATCACAGTGCAGGCTCTTCAGGATGATTCTCTCTCATTGCATCTGCGAGGGCCGCGAAGATGCGTTCCTGAGTGTGTGCCAAGGCACGGTGATTTTCGGGGCGGGGCCTCCAGGATTGTACTGTGAGAAGCTGTCAGACGTCCTTCACTGGGAACCGAGTGAGTCACATACCGCATACATCCCGCCAATTCCAGAAATCGCAAATGTCTTCCAGCGAACAACGTCCCATTTCACGCAAACTCGGCGGCCCCGAATTCACGCTTGACCAGATACGTTCACATGCCTCGCCATCGGTCGATTTTGAATCAAGATATAGGGAGCGATTGAGGTTATAACTTCTCGTTGGGACAAAATGCCGACAACGGTGAGCGATGGGCATGTACCTTCGCGGACATCAATTTTGGCAACCAACCTGTTCGCCATAGGCGCACTGACCAGAGTCTACACCAGTTTCGCAGCCACCCCGCTAATGTCACACTCGGCAAGAGTAATTCGCGTAACCAGAGCCAGTTCGGTACGTAAGAAGAATACGAGAGCGAAGACAAAGTCATGGTCGTGGTGAGAACGCAACCCGCGTCTGCGGCGATCGTTTTAGTGACAACGCGGCGACCATGAGGCTACAGCTCACGAGATGCAGTACACTTGCCTCTGCCGCTTGTACATACAGTACCAGGCAAAGCGCGCACCCTCTTCTAGCCCTGAACTGCTTTATACCAAAGGAAACGCCCCAACTACTTGAAACAATGTAGTCAGATGGCTACGGGTGGGTTAGGGCAATCAGTCACGTCGAGTATTGACTTGAAATGTACACCCCTTCCAACGCATGTAGTTTCATATACGGTATAACAAGTAGCCATCGCTACGATTACGGGGATTGAGAGCTTGAGCGGCCGGATGTCCGATGAGCGCTGGGCGGGCTCCGGAACCACGATCTGCGCAATGTAGCAAAAGCGGTAGCGATGCGCTAACCAATCGTGCTGAAGCATGCTTTCACGACGGGGTCTCTACCCTGTGCCAGAACACGAATGGAGTGAGCGATCATTTCAGACAACGACGGGCGAGGGAAAAGAACGGGCAGCGTGAGCGGATATACTATGTGACGCAAGTAGCTCGTGTTATTTGGCTGTCTTCGGTAGCTGGCCGGGTGTTCATATAAGTAAGCAAACTTTCTGGTCCTTAGGATAGTCAAGTGCGCAGATTGGAGTAGCCGAGGCTGGGATCCGCCATCGTCGAACTGAATACGATAGGGACGGGTGTCATACTTCCCCTTCGCGACTTGTGACACTGCTCCCATAGCTAGGGAGTCAAAGCTCTTGCGCAAATACAGGCACAGCCGTCAATGACGCAGGCCATGTTCCAAAGAAGATGCATTGTCTACGATGTGGGAAGGTATACGAGGATGAGGACACAGATCGAGGGCGGCGTCAGCTAGGGTGCGATGCGATTGAACATCGCGCGGCGCGAACCGGCACGAGCAACCGTCGTCCTTATTTCAGTTTAGGCTGCGACTCGCCGCGCGCTTGTGTCCTACCGTGACGAGCGGACATGTCCCTCGTAGTCCATCGTCATCTCTAGATGTCACGACTTCGCACACTCTACTCTATAAATACTCATACTCGTATCTAATGGCTCGCCTGGGATGGTCGAACCTCAATCGTACTCCTTCGAGAAGGCTTCGCCGCTCATGTCATACTAGGAACGGCTCGTGACGCGAGCGTAGTAGCCGGAGGATGACTGTTATTCGCTGCAGGATGACAAGGTCGTAGCTATATAGCGGCAAATACGGGCGACGGTGCGCTATGCCATTTGTCACGAGCGTTAAACGGTGCGTTTGTACCTCTCTTGCACGCGCTTTGTGGCCGGCTACGGCGGATCCTTTCTCGCTTCAAATCTTTTCGGTGGAAGGTCGCAGCGGTTTGAGATACTGCTCTAGCCGCTGGGACCGCCCCGTGCGTTGAACCGTTTACATGGAGACGTGTCGGGCCAACCTGGCCACACCACATCCCCAATCGTCTAGATCTGATGAACCATTTTAGAACCAAACTCGATGGGAAGTCAGGCTGGACGTACCACGGCTGAATGACGCCGGCTTCCCCCCTCCTCTCGGACACCTCTGAGTCTTCGAGCTAGAAATGTTACATCACGGCGTCAAGAGGCCGACATCATGAGTGCAATATATCAGCCATGGAGCATGCAAACAAGGGGACTGCTGTGCTTGCATAGCCTGTAAACATGCTTGACTACGAAGACATTCAGCATCTCGCGCGGCGGGAAACCACAATGGGCCTGAATATCAGCATCAGTACTGAGCACGACATGTGAGACCGTCTCGACCACGACCGAACCTTTACAAAGGATAGTCGTGTAAGATTCGAAATACTGAGTTGAGTGCTCTGCATCTGGGTGACGCCTACTCGTACGTAGGCTCGCTACGGCCGTCTTGTACCTTAGTCTAAGCTTAGCAAGCCGCCGGTCGGAGTGATCGGAACGGCAAGGTTCGGGCCCGGCCTCGGGCCGACGTTAGAAGCCCGGGGCCCTCCGAGCCCAGGCTTCGCGCGGATCTCGAGCTGCTGCCAGTGCTCTCGGCCAGCACTTCCGGTGTACGGCTCGTCTCCATGCTCGTTTGTCATAGCAATAGTGCAGTGTCCTGGGATCTCTCCAGTCACCCGCACGAGATAATGCTCGGCCGGACTGCGTACTAGCAGACTACCCGGCCCCTACCGAAGCCTGAGCTACCACGTCTCGGAAACTGCAAGCGCAAGCTTAAATTGTGCTTGACCCGCGGTTTCGACATCCCGGAAAGCACGTAGCTACGATGAATTCAGGCGCCCGGAGCGCGTCGTTCGCGATCAGGTCGATCATAATCTAAGAACCGACGGTGGTACTAGGCTGTGGTAGGTGCGCTTCGTCCCTTACCTTACCTTGACCTTACCCGAGATGGTGTCGAGGTCAAATTATACGTGCGATGTGCTGCGCTCAAGCCGTCCGTACGCGTTATGAATTCCAGCACTCAGTCAATGTATTGTATATCATCTACCGTCCAGATGCTCTGAGCTTTCATTGCTGGGTTCGGGGTACGCCGGGGTACATACACCGCGGGGCCTGGGTTCTTTTCACGACTTGCTACCTTAACGCGTCGGGTGACTTGGTACGGTCCTCGCTTGGGCTCACGCGCGTGTGGCTATCCTGTACTATGAGAATACAGAAAGATGGACAGTGTGCTGTACAATGTAGCAGAGGATGACGCGCACCGGGTGCAGCGCCCACTGCGAGCACGAGGCTCACATCTTTGATGGTCTGATCGGACGCGGCCGCCGAACGCGTAGGACCTGTTGCAGCCGCTAGTCCTTGCAGCTTGCAGTCCCGAGTCTAGTCTAGCCCTCAGCGCTGACCGGTTACTAGCATCGCGCGGCGAACTTCGCTCCATACGATGTACGAACGAGGTCGACGCGGGTGGTCAGCAACATCAGCAACATATCTACCGGAGACGTGGAACATAGCGTCAAGGCATCGGAAGGACCGTCAGCCGCAGCGTCCAGGAACTTCGCTCTTGCGCGCGGATCGCCGGACATTGCCGAGGAGACTCTGTGGCGGGCGCAGAGCGTCGACTGGCTTCGACCAAAACCACCACGACGGCCGACATCGGAGGTGATCTACCGCACCCGCGTGTGCAGGAAGCTACTCGACGTCGTGGGTCAAGGCGGCAAACCTCACACCACTAGCGGCTTCTAGACGCAGTCAGGGTTGCGACGACGGGGAGGGCGAAGTTGGCGACGGACGAGTTCTCCCCGTTCCCGAACGTGTTAGTGGGGCTTCGTGATCTTCAAAGAATCCGGGGTAAGAGACTGGGGACAAGATGGAGTCATAGTTCATACGCGTCTCGGTGTCGTAGAGTATATTGAATTCGTATTTTGATCTTCACTCACTATTGAAGTTGTGTTTCCGAGTCGTGTCAGCATCTGTTCAGGACACCGCGAATGGCAGCCTCCCTCGGCGCTCGAAGAGACTTCACATTCTTCTGAGTAACGAACTCCGTCCGTTTGGAGACGGGCATTGATACAACTCGGTACATAGCATTCCAATTGAAGAAAAACACAGACGAAAGATACACGCAAAGTATGGTACACGGGCGATCAGACAACTTCGGTTTACATCCAAGCAATACTCATCCCTTGTTGCTACCCGACCCGGCCGACTTGAGCTATGAAAGCACATTAGTCATACCCGCTATATGTACCACGATGACTTACCTATGCTCCATATCTAGCGAGCACGGGACGGGCTAGATTGAGGCGAGGGGTACGATGTGCTAGCAGTCGACTAAGATGCCTTTGTCGGGGAGGATGCAGAAGACTTCGCAGTGGACATGACGTTGCTCCTCCGGAGATACCACTCTTTAAAGCTGGGAGCGGGCCACGGGCCGCTATCCCAAAACGGGTTAAGTATCTGAACAGATTGTACACCAACTGATTTGCGTATCAGTGCTGGGTTACGATCTACCTTGGAATAGCCATCACACACCGTCGACGACCCCTTCCTCTAGATAGCCGCAATCCCAATCATCCGCCATCTCGTGATCCTTCACGTAGCCACGGCAGCCAAAGAGCGTACGATCCGTGTTCTTCATGTACTCAGGCTGGCGCGACTGCGCGTCCCAGCCGTGAAGGCAAAAGGGCATCCGATGCTCGACGCCAGAGTGAAGAGTGGGGGGATCGCGTCCTCCGCCGTTGAAATACGGGTATCGACGGTCTACGCCCTTGATGTTTCCGGGCGCGACGAGCGGGTGGTAGTCCGGGCGAACGGGTGCATGCGACATGGCAAGAGGGGAGATGAAGTCGATAAAGCATCTTTCGCACCCGAGAGATTTATAGTGTGTAGTCGACGTCAGGTGCCCGACGCGGTCTTCTCAGCACAGTCAGTCGGCCGTTGCCGAAGTCACTTCCCACCCATCCTTCCGGAAGCCATACCAGAGCCATATTGACCCTGTACGATCAACGTTCCTTAGCTACTATATGCTCTGAGCTCAAGAGTTTCCTCCTAAGAGTCTCCTCCCTTTCTTAGCTTGGGCGTCCCTATGAACCGTCGCGAAGAGGTTCGCCGTCAGCGTATCGAGTCGGAGCAGCGTCGCCGCGACGAGCTTCGGGATGGTTACCGCCGGCTCAAGGACGTGCTCCCGGTGTCGAACCAGAAGTCATGCAAGCTTGCACTTCTCGATAGGGCGACGACACATATTTGCCACCTCGAGATGTCCCACACGCAGCTCTTGACTCGTCTCCAGCAGGTCGAGGAGGAAACACTTCGTCTGCGCAAGTAAGCGGCAACACTCAATTCGCCCTTCATATCGGACTAGAGCACTGACGAATCGCCTTTAGGCTCACGGAGCGGCTCGTGTTCAGTACCGCCGATCAACGACAAGCGCTTCTCGAGCAGCAGGCTAGCGCGCGCTGATTTCACCTGCTTTCACTGGGACCTTGACAACTACCACGACTCATCAACGCCCCCTATGCTCGATGGGCCTTTCGATGACTCTGCGCAAGACTCCTAGTTTTGGATCCACAGACACTTGCTATCCCGCGTCTTACCTAAGCGGACTTTAAGACGACACACTATGACCACGGCACTGTGCATCTGCGGTGCACGTCCACATTCTTTCTCACAAGGGTTCACCTTGGAGGCCAGTGGCCTCCGTGCGGTCGTCTACCGCCCCCCCGCAACTCGAGCTGCCCCATCGACGTACGGCTCATACGCTTTCGTTTGCACTCATACAGCGCCGACACCATGCATGTGTATACGGTCCCTGGCGGACCACGGTATCCGCATCCGTCATCGCAGAGACCGCGGCTTGAGAAACGTGCCATGCGCGCGAATCGCCGTGGTCTACTCTACCTTGCACATATCGCACCCAGCATGTCTGTATGGCCATCTCTGTCAACACCTTGTGCGCACCGATACACTGGCTCATGAACCGCAATCTGCTGATATGCGGCGACGCAACGCCCCCGCTCGGGTTTTCCCCCGTCACGTCCCCCCTCCACGTCCGCGCTGATCCCGTGTATTACTTATCTTAGTTTATGCTTGCACGACCACCCATTCCTCACCAGCCACACACCTGCATCTCGCACCTACAGCACTTACACCAACGTCTCGCACCTCCTCGCCTGAGGCACAACGCCGCTATGTTCCCGCGCGCAACGGATGGGCTAGGCACGTGGCGGCATACACTCGAGATTCACTACGGGGATCTTGTTCACAACGAGCGGCTACTGCCAAGTTGGTGCGCCTCGCCATGTCAGGCTGTGCGCATAGCCATGGGCGCCTCGCCTGCCAGCTGGGACGCTGGGCGCCCATGCCGTTCTACCTGCTTCCAATCCATACTATATGTGCTGCTTCTGCCACCCCCTCTTCTCCCTCTCTGCTGCCGCTGTATACGCTGTATACTTCCTGTTCATACTGCATACTGCTGACCCTTGCCTTACTTTCATACATACATCATGGCCAATAGTCACTGTCCTGTTCGTCCATATAATGGACGAGTACGGCGTATGGAGTACATACAGAGCCAAAAAACTGTAAGATAAATGGAACGTATGGAACGGCAAGAAGAGGAGGAGGCGTACTACGTGGAGCCACGGGTCGAGTCGTATGTAAAAACCGAGGGGAGACGGCTAGGGCGTGCGGGCCGAAGCCGGATTCTTGTTTCCATATCCGCCAGGGCATCTTGCCTCCTCTTTCCATCTTCTTTCCACTCCGACCACCCAGTGCACTAGCAGCTCTATCGCTCGCATGTCTCTGCGTGCGTGTTCTTCTTTAAGAATGCCGTCCATCCTGAATCTCAAGTTCGAGGTGAAGCCCACATGCAGTTCCCCGCGCTCGACTGATTTCATCTCATGCCCGCCAACGAACAGGGCAACTAGTCCTTTATCGCCTTTTCCAACCTCGGCGACACGGACTCGCTCACCAAGACCTGGAAGGTCTGTGCGCCGTCGTGGACACTGTTATATCACATATACTGGCCACACGTCTAGGTCTGGACCAAGGTAGCCGGCTACCCCGAGCAAGGCCAGCGTCTGGAGAACTTCACGTGGTGGCTCTGGCACCTGCAAAACCTGATGGTCGACACGGACAACGCCAAGTCGATGCGCGAGTTCAAGAAGCTGTCCAAGGTGATGGGCACCAAGCTCGACAAGGAGAAGGGCCGGTCGATCGAGGAGCTCGAGGCGCCCAGCTTCCGGCGCACGGGCAGCACCGACCTGCTCATCGCCCGCGCCCACGAGAAGGAGCGCTCGCGCGAGGCACAGCAGTCGGCGCGCCCCAACACCATCAAGCGCACGCAGTTCACCTTTTCCATCGACGGCCCGTCTGAGCCCGCCTCCGCGCAGCACGTCGACAAGCCCGACCTCAAGCCGTCGGCTGCATTCCGCCGCACCGGCCCGCGCACCGCACGCCAGCCCCAGCAGCAGCAACCACAAGAAGCCGTCGAGCAGCCGCTCACTCAGCGCAGCCGCAAGCAATCCGTCTCGGTACCTTCCGCGCCCGCGCCCGTCCAGGTGGACGAATTTGCCGCGCCTCGTTTTCCCTCGTATCTCTCGTCCGACATTGGGTCCGCCGCTCTTCTGTATGCTGTGCCGACACTCGCGAACAGCAACCCGTACGGCGAGGGTGTGCGCTCGAGCTCGACCAACCACAACGCGTTCGCCGTTTCTATGTAGGCCGATGATCGAGCCCGGCATCGACGAGCTCATGGACGACACGCCACCGCAGGATAGAAAGCCTACCCACAGCTGGGTGCCAATGGACCATGCGAATCCCGCTACCGATACGCCTACACCCGCCACCACTGCTGCTCCGGTTGCTTTGACGTTCGCTACAGCTACGACTGTGACCCCCCCCCCTCCCACGCCCTCTGCCTTTGCGCCCCAACCTCCCACGAGTAGTGCCCCCACCCAGCTCGCCACGACGCCGGCTTCAAAGTCCGTGCTCTGCGTCCGTACCGACTGTCTCCGCTCCAAGTAGTCTGAAATTCAGTGCTCGAACTGCTATGCGACTCAGGTATCGGTCCCACGCAAACGGACGACGAGCTCGAGGAGGAGGAGCGTGCTGCTAAGCGTCGTCATATTAGCACTGCTAGCTCGACGTACGACACAGCGAACGGCTCCGAGCCGCCCAGCTCGGCCACCTTGAGCGCGAGCTACGCCACGGCCGTCTCCTCGCTTGCGAACGAGTCGTACAAGATGCCCAAGGTATTCGGCTCGCCGGCCTCGAACGACAAGCACGGCGCGAGCAACGGGAACGATAACGCACAGTCTTCCGGCTAGCAGCAGGCGAACGCGAAAGACTTGAACGGTTATGCGCAGCAGCAGCAGGACGCGGACACCGGCCCGAGCAGGAAGCACGGGTACAGCCAGGAATTCGAACGTCAACGTCTACGGGCCCGCCGACTGTCCTTGCACGCGCCTCGAGTTCTTCTTTCCGTCCTTCTCGGCCTACGGAATGCTCCGCGGCCAGGGAGCCGGCGGCTGACCCCCGCCTCTCCTCCCGCCGACTCGATCACCCTTACCCATCCACTCGCGTGTGATCCTGCCCGAGGATGCGCTGTGCGTTGGTGCACTTGCACTCAGCCCTCACGTCGCGTTCGATCAGGCGGGCAGTAATGATGGGGTGGGGCAGTGCGGGACGGGACGGAGTACGGATGGCAGAGCCAATCTTGGGCAACGGGTGTGGGTGTGTATCAGTGGGGGAGTATCAGTGGGGGAGTGCCGCTTGAAGGAGGGAGCGAAGCATGAGGCGCAGGATTGGGACGCGCTGTTCAATCCATCTTTACAGGACCCAGCGGGGAATGTGGTTCCAGGGGGATGTGGAAGGCGAACTAGGCGCTAGGTGCTCCGCGTGTTCCGATACAAGTCGAACGTTAGACGTGCTGGTTGCGTTTGCTTTTTCGACTGAAGCCGCCGCAGAGCCCCGATCCAACTCTATAACTATCCGATGCTCGCGCTTGAGTGCTATTGACCTCACTTCACGACCCGCGGCGACGATCACGACACACATGACGACCGCCCACGACACGATCTGCGGTTTCGCTCGCCCTTTCGTCTTCCGAGTCGTCTCAGTTTAGTCGCAATTTTTCCGGTCTTCCGGCGTCATTTTCGCTACGTATCCGACACAGCACTATCATTCCTGTGCGCACCCAAGGCCCGCACATATCATCTCTGCTATGCCTCACCAAGTCTCGGTTATAGCTCATTTCGTATTTGCTTCTCCCTGACTCCTAGTTCCCGACCCTCAAATCATCAACTCTACTCTCGACTGCCTGTCTCAGTGCTAAGTATGCACATCCATGACTTCTTGATTATCGCCGCACAGATGCGTTTTCCGTTTCTCTCGTCTCCTTCTCCGCTCCACTCTCACACAATACACCCGGTTTACGTGGGTTCCACAACTATACATTAGCCCCTTTCTGAATCTTCTCTTCAGCCCAGCGCCAGCTACCTACCTTCCTATGACTGCCCATTGGCCCGACCTGCGATCGTATTGAGGAAAACGCTGTAGATCCACCCTTCTGCCCCTTGTTCACGTTCGCGTCTTGACTCAACTGGCTCATCCCGCCTCGACCGATCTCGCCTCTTTCGTCATGGTCCGGATGCCAATTCCTCCAGTCAGAACTCTCGTAAGGCATGTTTACATATCCTGAGGAGCAAGAATCCGAAATGTCGGAATACGTCCATGTCCGGACGTCCAAGCGAGTTTATTTGAGCACAATTTCTATCGCTGCAGTGATGCCGACACTTGAGTGCATCCTGATCGACCATGCGGTGACGAGCTCACCTGCGTCGCAGCAGTCTCCATGTGGAACCGGTACATGTCGCCAGCCGTTCTTTCAGCTTTTGACTACAATTCGCCAATTTGAGGCGTATGTATCCCAAAGAGACTAGATTCATCTTCCCCGTGTCTCACCGTCTCAACAGGTCTCAAGGCTCAGCTTTGTGAGCAGCGTGTGCTCTGATGAATCCGATCGTTCACTATGAAGGAGCGCAGCAAAGATGTATCCAATGATGGACTACTATACCACCCTTCGTCTGCTTCACGTTCGACCCTGTTCGACCGGCGTCCACGCATGCGAGTGCATTCTTAGCTGCGGGATAGCCTACCGTCGCGGTCGCGTAAAGTAGAGAGCTGTTTGGCCGTGAAAGCCCTACATACGCTCGGTCTAGCGTGCGCAATGCGAGCCCTCGTTCCATCCTGACTCGACTTCCGTCTTGTAGCTCACAATCGCGGGCAGCAGAAGATCGTATCACCGGAGCTGCTGCGTGCCGCTGTCTGAGAGCGTGCATATTTCCGGGGCTCTTAGGCATCTTCGCTACCGTCGAGAAGTCTAGCTACGCGCTAGGGCTCGAGAGAGAGACACGCAGCTAGCAAGTAGGCAGATTTGTGCAACTTAGTCTGAGCTCGGCGGGCCGCCGCTCGGAGTTATCGGAACGGCAAGGTTCGGGCCCAGCCTCGGGCCGACGTTAGAAGCCCGGGGCACTCCGAGCCCAGGCTTCGCGCGGATCTCGAGCTGCTGCCAGTGCTCTCGGCCAGTATGGCAGTACTTCCGGTGTACGGCTCGTGTAGATGCTCGCCTATCATATATAGCAGTAGTGCATTGGGCGTTCTGGGATCTCTCTAGTCACCCGCACGAGATAATGCTCGGCCGGGCTGATTGCCTAATACCAGCAGAGTACCCGGCCCCTACCGAAGCCAGAGCGGTGACCAGGTACGATTTTCGCTTGCGCTTGCGCGT